ATATTTTTAACATGGAGACCACAAGTTCATTTTTATTTATTGGACTTCTAAGCATAGGGTTCCTTACAATCTAGTGTCTAAAATCTGAGAACTTTTAAGTAGGGAAGGGGACTTTTTTACTTATAACACAGGGGCAACAAGGAGACACACTTGGACTGTTCTGGGCAATTGAGATCATCTAAGACCACAACACATTCTAATGAACAACTGGGAACATCATCTGATAAGAACCTGCTGTGTATCATGCAACGCCACGTACACACCACAAATCACATGTCTTCAATTTTCACTGGCCAGGGTCTTCATGTTTTGATGTCAACCTTCTGATAGCATCTCTGACTTCTGATAGTGTCACAATATAATTCTGTTTCACATATGTACTCCATGTATCTAGGCCATGCTGTTTTGATGTATGTCCTTGCCTCCCTCTTTTACAAAATAGGACATGTAACAAGAAAGGTCACAGAGTCAGAGGACAATACCCATGATGATCTCTAAGACATTCCAACCATACAAGGTTGTCCATTTTTAGGGTTCATATATCTCTCCTGCCATCTTTGACATCAAGTGCTGAATGAAATTCAGCATATTTCCTTCAATGACAAGGTCTGAGCTCCACTAACAATCAAAATATAGTCTTCTAAATAAGAATAGGTCTATATACTACCATGGAGTGATTTCCAGAATCTTTTGTAAAGTTAAAAACAAAGTAGAGAGAACTAATTGTATATAATATTTTAGCACTATCTACACAAAGGGAGATAAAAAATATGTCTATGTTGGCTTAGTTATTTTAAATAGAAATGTGTTGTGGGCTAAATCGTGTCCCTCAAAAATTTGCATATTGAAATTCTAACCTAACATCAGAACAAGACTGTATTGGAGTTAAAGTTTTAAAAGACGTGATTAAGTCAAAATAAAGCTTTTTTCAGTGTGGTTTCAATCCAATCTTACTAGTGTCCTTATAAGAAAATAAAATTTGGACACACAGAGAGACATAAGTGGTGTACACACACAGAGGAAAGACCACATGAGGACACCCAAAAAGGTGGCCATCAGCGAGCCAAGGAGAAAGGTTTCAGATGAATCCAACCCTGCCAACACCTTGATCTTGAACTTCCAACCTCCAGAACTATGAGAGAACAGGTTTCTGTCATGCAAGCTGTTCAGTCTGTGGTATTGTGTATGACAACCCTTGCAAACCAATATAAAGAGTAATTTTAAAACTTCTATCAAGCGGTTACCTAGAGGGTAGAGAAGAAAGCAAGGTGGAAAAAGGATGAAAAATTAAATTTCCCTGACTATACCTCACATTATAACTTTGACTTTAAAACCAGGTCAACATTCAAGCTGGGCATGTAATCCCAGCCAGTAGGAAGGCAGAGGCAGGAGGATTGCTTGAACACAGGAATTTGAGACCAAGTTGTGCAACATAAAGACACCCAGTTTCTTAAAAAAAAAAAAAATGCATCTAATGCTGCTAACTGAAAGCTATAGTTTGAATATGCCCCTAAAATTTGTGTTTTGGAAACTTAATTGCCATTATGATAGTGTTAAGAGGTGGGACTTTTAAGAAGTGAGTAGGCCATGAGGGCTTCATCCTTATGAATGGATTAATGCTGTTATTGCAGGAGTGGATTCCTGATAAGTTAGGTTCACCCTCTCCCTCTCCCCACCAACCTTCTGCCATTCCCCCATGGGATGACTGTCACCAGTTCCCAGCACCATGCTCTCAGGCTACCCAACTCCAGAATTGTGAGAATTAAATTTCCTTTCTTTATAAATCACTCCGTTTTGGGTATTCTCTTACAGCAGCAAAAAATGGACTAAAAATTGGCTTAATCGCTGAAGAATAATTATCTCAAATTACTTAAAAACTTGGTAATTTGACTGTGAAAATAGTGGAATACATACCCGAAGGGCCAAAAAACAAACACAAAACCCAGCATGTAAAACTCAAACTGTTTTCAGTTATCATATTGTAATAAAATTGGAGCTGATATCCTGACATAAGAATAGCTACTGAGATACACACACACACACACACACACACACACACACACACACACACACACAGTAGTGATAAAGCAAACAAGTAATTACACTGATGTATCATTCAGGATAAGAAAAAAGAGGCATGGATATCAAATTTTAAAAGACAGGTAAAAACCTTATAATCCTAAATTGGAATTGGAAATATCATGTATTTCCTTTAAGAAAAATTTTTCCTTCCTAGCACTGTCTACTATAAAGTCCTACAAAAAATAACCAACTCAGGAACTATGAACATTATTCTCAATGAACACTATTTACTAGACTATTCCCTTTACTTTTGTATTTACTTGAAAATTTTCATAGTAAAAAGTACATGGGTAAATGGATAGATAGATGATTGATTGATTGATAGATAGATACATCTCTATCCCAATCTTTCCCATATGATTTGCCAGTGTGGGTTTTATCCCCTTAATGTAATTCAACTGTGCAGTCAACTCCAGCCTAAATTTTGAACAAGGGCTTGTTCAAAACTGAACAAAAACTTCTGACTTTTCTCTTTCTTGTTGGAGCATTGGCTAGGTATTGGTCATAGATTAGGAATAAATGTCCCAAGAAATTTCCCTTTTAGTCATGGACTTTTTTTCACTTTTCCAGTTTTCAACTGGAAACATTACTTGGTCAATTACTGCCAGGGAATTTGCCTATTTGGGCTTACAAAGACAGTCTGTCCTTCCAAGATAACCTCCCAAGTATGAAAGGGAATGGGAAACACAAAGAACATTTAATAAGGACCTAGAAACTAGTAGTTCAGCTTTTAAAATTCGTATAACTGTCCTTTTTCTAAATTAAATTAAAAAACAAAACAAAGGCGAGGTCTAGTTATTTGCCTGGTAGAACAGAGGTATAAACCCACAGTTATATGTCTCAAAAGCTCATACCCATCCAAAGTGTGGCAATGCCTTCTTTGGAGTTAAATAGGAGAGTTCACCCCCACACCCGCCCCATATGCACAACCTAGACTGTGGGTTCAGCTGCCAGGGACTACAGATCAAAAAAGAGGACACAAGACCCTTCCTCCGCTCTGGGGGAAGGGCTGGGGGAGGCCCTCAGGATTCTGTTTTTTGTTTGTTTACATCTTGATATCTGCATATCCAAGGATCTTAACTATGTTTCATTTGCTTCCCACCCCAATTTTGCCCAGATTTGTATGACAGTGTGATGAAGAGGCGCTCCCCAAGGGTGTAAGAGCTCTCTTCATGGAAAGATAGTTTCCTTCTCTTGACAAACAGAAAGTTTGGCTCACACACTCTCGCCGCTCTCTGATTTTTAATTTATTATGGAAGGTTACAGCCTCAATGTTTAAAAGAGAGGACTGGGTAACTCACTGCAAAGGGAAGTTGAATATTATTGTTCTGCTTGTAAAACTAAAAATTTCAAGAGCTTCAGGTAATAGAGGAACTGGATTAAAACTAGACAATGAGGGCCCCTCAGGTTTGGTCAGCTCTGAGGAATGAACTCCATGACCTCGTATCAAAGCTGTCACCTTATTGTAATAAATCAGTCTTGGGACTTTCTTTCATTCTTTAATAATGTTTTCACACACAGTGCTAGAGTGTGCAGGATTTTGTCTCTGAATTACAGAATCAGCAATGACCCCTAACCCCTGTCATACTGTGGATGATCTAGTTTACATTTTCATGTCTTCTCCTCGTATCCTTCCCCAGTTTGGCTTTAGCTACTTTCTCTCTTTCCTTCATGATTGGGCCTTCCTCGCTGCCACTCCCCGACTCAGGACCCACCACCAAGTCCAACAACAACACTTAGTCTAACAACTTCTTAATTCCATGGGCACCCAAGGGGGTTCTTGATAGTTGTGATTCCTGGACTCTCAAAAGGAAACCTCAAGCACAGCCCTTGGGTTCACACCTGGTCAAGAATGCCCAGCCAGATCTGGGATTCTTTGATGAAACACGCCCACAGGCCAGAGGACCAAAGAGACTGATCAAACACATGAGGCAAATAAGCAAACAAATGAGCTTGATCCTGACAACATTTTTTGGAAAGAAGTGAAATGTAGATACGTAAAAATGCCTAAATTTTCTCTATTGACTCCCACACCTACCTTCAGTCTCTGCAGGAATCTTCCAGTGCTCAGCATCTGCAAAAGAATCAGCCAGACTATGAAGATGTGGGCTAGAACCGAGGGCAAAGCACTCCGTCTCATGAGTTCTAAGAGTACAAGTAAAGATGGCATGGGGCTTTATCTCTGCGGAGGACCTCACCACCACTTGATTTCCAGTACCCAAGTTAGAGCCCTCTCTGTGCCCAAAGAGAGACTGCGTGGATTCAAAGCCATGCATTTTGGCCCAGGGGCCTCAACATTAGCCTATTCTCTATGCCTCTTCAGTTCTTAACAGCATTATACTGTAGACTTATCCAGAGTTCCAGATCACCATGGGAGGCAATTTTAAGTTTACCTTCTCTTCAGATCCAGAGGTCGATAGTGTGGCTACTGGCAGAAATTAACATGGCAAGAACTTCAAAGCTGGTTCTGGGTTGCCAGGTGGGTGTCCTTACCAAGATGGTTATGTAGTCCCTTTGAGTCAGGAGCGTGTGTGCTCTTCTAAAGCAGGGGACAAGGCACCAATATTTCCACAGGGAGTCCACTCCCAGTCTAAGTCACCTTAGGTATTTTAGGAATTAAATTATTTCCTTCTCAGACTAGTGTTTAGGAAATGGGTCAGTGAAGCACTATCAAATTACAGGAAGACTTAAATTCACAGATCGTTTTCAGAGTTAATTAAATTAGTTATTAGTGCCTGGAGATACATGTGTTATCTTCCCTTACCTAAAACCTTCAGGGAAGCCACGAGATTGTGGAAATGTGAACTTATCCTTTGCCACAGTTTATTCACTTATCTCCACGGAAATTAAAGTCCAAGAGGAAAATGAGCTAATGGGTCTTTCTTACCTATGAGTATTTGGTCAGGTTCCACCCACAGTTATTTATTATTAACCTACCAATAGCATACTCCCCAAGGGCTGAGAATGGGGAGCAGAAATCTCCAAACATTTATGGGAAACTTGTGAAGGAGCAAAATAATGCATGAGCTTCTCACCTGCCCAGGCCCTAAGTCACTCTGAAACTAGAAGAAGCTTTTCTGCTGAGAATTCTCCCACCTCCACTCTACCCTAACCCTTTCAGGTTCCAAACCTGCAGGCAGCAGTCCCACCTGTCAAAGTGAGGAGAAGGTCTGCAGCAGCTAGGGAGAGGGGAGGGCTGGTGGGAAAAGGAGCAAGTGGGACCGGGAGGGGAGGGTGAGCTGCCTCCCTGGTGGGGACCAACACTTTCCTCTCCAAATCCAGGGGACCTTCCCCCCCCCCAACTCTCAGGCTGAGCTGAGCAAACTCCCCTAGGGTGGCTAACCTCCTGAAAAGAAGCCATTTCCCACCGGGCTCCCAATGCACATACATAATAAACGTCAGTCTAAACTCCAAACGCGACCATTCCCCCAAACACCAGCACTGCAGAGCTGTGGATGAGGCTGTCACTTTGCCCGCCCCATTGTGAATGCCTTCAAAATTCCTTGAATAAAGATAAGAGGGGATTGTGTACGTTTTCTACACAAATGGTGGAAAGTAATAAAATAAACACCAAAGGTGAGCTTCCACCTACTCGCGGCTCCGTCCTACTTGCAACAAAGGCAGGAAAAAGGAGGAAACTTCGACGTGGTGGGGCCCCGGGACCGAGCGCTCTTTCCCTCGACTATGGACACCGCGTGGGGATCAGGGACCAGGCATCCGGAAGGAGATGGTCCGACATGCGTGCCACTGAAGTCCCAGCAAAAGTCCTACAGGAGTATTGAAAAGAAATAACCGTGAACACGCGGTGCTCTTGGCCCCCGCCCCTCGAGACCCGCCCTCCCCGCATGCCGCCGGACGCCGGGGGCCGGAAAGGAGCCGCTGAGCCCGGCGGCGTCCGGGGTTTCCGCAGGGCGCAAGTGTGGACAGAGTCTGGCACTGGCGCCAGACGCCACGCCCAGGAAGGGAGAGCGCTGCTGCCCCAAGAGCCACCAGCCAGGTAAAGAAAGGTAAAGACAAAAGAAAAGTGAAAGTCGAAGCCCATTTTGTGAGCAAGAGCCAGTCAAGGTCATCCCAAAAGGCACACTCCATTTAAAGCCCAGAATCTTATTCATTAAAAGATAGCTACTGAAAGGAGGTCACAGGAAGGGGCACGGCAGGTGGCTCCTGAAAGAGGCCACTGTAAGTATGTCCTGTGGTGTCTGCAGTTTAGCAGCTTAGCAGTGACAAGAGAGGTTTGCTATCCTCAGAGGCCCCGTTTTCACTTCCAGAGAAGCAGACACTCCGCGTGCATCTGAGACCCTGCTATCTGGAGCCCAGCATTTTCAGGTGTATGGAGGTGGGGGGGTGTGGGGGGTGGGGGGGGAACCTTCAGGCGCACTCGCCGAATTCGCCTCCCCGAACTCCAGGGCACAGAGACCCATCTCAGGTCGCCGGGGAGAGGGCTCACACCTCCGCGAAGCAGCGGGCGAGGCCGCCACACGCGCGCATACACGCGCGCTCGCGCGCACACTCACACCCGCGCACCCCAGCCGCGCGCTCGCTCCCCATTGGCGGGAAGAGGAGGGCGGGGCCGGCCAGACCCAAAACAAACAACCTGCGCCAAGCGACTTGACCGCCCCGCCACAGCGCGGCCAGGCCCGGTACGCGCCCGCGGGGAGCCGCGGCCACCTCGTTCCCCACCCGCTGCTGTCGGCGCACAGACCCCGCCCCCGCGAAGCTGCCACAGGGTTATATTGGGCCGGGCCGAAGGTGGAGGCGAGACGCAGCCGCGGCCGGCCAGCGCGGAGATGCTGCTCCGGAGGCCGGGGACGAGAAGGCGGCTGCGGGTGCAGCAGCCTAAGGGACTCGGCTCCGCGGGCGCTCGAGATTGAAGGCTCCGGACCCTCCCCCCAGCGGTAGCTCGCACACCCTCCGGCACCATATCCGTGCCGCGAGGACGCCCGCACGGGACTTGGAAGCACCCTCCCTGGGCTCTAGGACGAAGAGCAGATGCGCACGCTTCTTCCCTCCTAAGTCCGGCGCGCTCGGTCACCACAGGGTGGGACAGCTGCCCTCGCATACATTCACCCCCAGCTCCAGTCCTCGAACTGAAGGCGGCACCTACCCAACTCCTTCCTCTCCGCCCCTTTGAGTCCGCTCAACACTCGCAGCCCCTCCAAAGAAAATTTCCAGCGGAAGAAGACTCCTACGGAAAAGTGATTGTCTCTCGCAAGACCGGGGCGAGCTCCCGGGTGAGAAAGGCGAGGACCCCGGCACTAGCTTCCCGAGACTGCGCGAAGGAACA